GGGGTCCTGGTCTGCAGCCGGGTCGGGGCAGGGCGTGGATCCGAGCACAGCGGGGCATCTGGCCGTGGGGTGAGGACCTGCCCACCGTGAGGTTGCGCAGACCTGGGCTCGCAGCACTGTTTGCAGGCTGGGGCAGGGCAGAAGGAAAAGCAAGTCTTGCCATTGGGGTGGCTCGGATTTCTCAAGGTCTTAAGTCCTGGTTTAGGGGCTTGAAATAGGGGTCTTGAGGGGGCGTAACCAAGTGCATCTCCTGAACAAGCCACTGACTTCCTCCTCCTTCCTGGGACAGTGACCCGTAGGGTCCACTCGCCTCACAGTGTGACAGCTCCACAGACCCCAGGGCCGGCCTCTGTCCCCAGCATTAGACCCTGAATTCCTGAATACCGGGGGCCATGGTAGCCATGGAGGGGTCCTGGTTCCCTCCTTCCCTTCCTGCTCCCCCCCCTCTTCTCTGAGGCCCGGGGTCGGGGGCCTCTCTGGACGCCTTGCTCAGTAGCCCCAGAAGTAAGTGCTCAGGAGTGAGGGGTCACTGACTCCCCACTGACCCTGGAGACCTGAGGCCTGGCCCCCGAGGGAGTTGATGTTGACGAGTGTCCAACGTGTGTCCACAGCAGATAGACTGGACGGAGCCCTGGCTCCTCGGCCTGGTCGTCTTCCACGCGCTCTGCCTGCTGCTCACCTGTGTGTCCTCCCGGCGATACGAACTGCAGGTCGGGCACTTCCTGTGCCTCGGTGAGTGGAATGGACAGAGCTGCGTGATGCGCCTTGCGTGTTCTCAGCATGTAGCGTGTTCCCGGGGCCCAGCCCTTCTGTTTGAGGCTCTACTCTTAGTCTCAGGGCTCGCCCTGATTTCTCTCTCAGGAATTCCAGAGGTAACGTAAATTTGTGGGTATTGTATTTGAAAGGAATCTACCGAGCACCTGCCTTACCAGGGAGGGGTCGGTACCAGTTGCACAAGACGAGTCAGGGTTAGTGAGATGCTGATATTTACAAGCTTTTCCCCATGGGCGGAGCGCCGTGCTGCTGGCTCCGGCAGGGAGGGTGCGAGCTGGGAAGGACACGTGCACAAATCAGCGTCCCTGCGGCTGGGGTTCCTGCTGCCCTGGCTTGGCCCCCAGTGCTGCTGCTCACAGGGCGGCCCCTCTTGTCGGAATCGCAAGGTCCGGGCTCCGCGGCTCTAGGCCCTGCTGCCCAGCGTCCCGTTGGCCTGACCTGTGTCTGAGGCATGAGGAAACGGGGCAAATAGCGCGGCGGCTCTTGGTTTTCGGGCAGAAGACTGAGTCCTGGGGCATGAGGAAACGGGGCAAATAGCCAGCGCGGCGGCTCTTGGTTTTCGGGCAGAAGACTGAGTGCTGAACAGCTCTGCATGGTTTCACTGAGACGTGAAGACTGACGTGTGTGGACCTGGTTTCCTTTCGGTTACGGGTGTCCTGACGTTTTAGTTTTATAATTGTTCTCTGTTGCTGAACAGCTCTGCATGGTTTCACTGAGACGTGGAGACTGACGTGTGTGGACCTGGTTTCCTTTCGGTTAAGGGTGTCCTGACGTTTTAGTTTTATAATTGTTCTCTGACGTTATATCTAAAGGAGAAATTCCATTTCTCCTCGAACTCTTGCTGTCTTGTGTTTACACTGAGCATGCATCTGTAGAGGATGTTTCCACAGACTCATGGTCAGTCACGCAGGTTCTAACGCGGTTTCTCTTGCAGTCACCCTGGTCTATTGTGCTGAGTACATCAATGAAGTGGCCGCCATGAACTGGAGGTGAGCCCGGTCGGGGCAGGTCGCTGTCCGGCTTCTGCTTTTTGGCACGAGCACCTGCATGCAGCACAGCAGCCTCTGCTCGGACAGGTTTAGGCTGAGAAGCGCTCCTCACACATTCCTACTGGCAGTGCCAGCTGAAAACGGGGTGATGCTGGCCATGACCTCGAGGGAGAGAGAGGTCAGGGGCTGTTGAAAGTGATGTTAGCGGCAGAGTAAGGAAGTGGCCTGATGGAGTTGGTGCGCGTGGGCCGAGTGGAGAGCACGCTGCAGCCTCTCCCCCCTCCCGGGACCACCATGTCCAGTGTCGGGGCCTCAGCTCCGCCTCCACCGGACGTCAGGGTCTGACCATGTAGGACCCGAGGGCCGGTGCCGTCATCGGGGGTGGGTTCTGCCTTCGTGACCTGAGACCTCCAGAAGCCTCACACTAAGTAGAGAACGTCATTTAAAACATTGTTTCGCTACGCCAAGTGATTTTTAAATTTTTCTTGAAACAGGTCATTTTCGAAATACCAGTATTTCGATTCGAGGGGGATGTTCATTTCCCTGGTGTTTTCGGCGCCGTTGCTCCTCAACGCCATGATCATTGTGGTGCGTACTTACGACTGCTGCATCCTCGCTTTCCCTCTGTACATGTTCCCAGTGTGAACGCTCTCCAAACTCCTGCTTTCAGATCATGTGGGTCCGGAAGACGCTGACTGTGATGGCCGACCTCAAGGCCCTGCAGCAGAAGGTGAAGGAGAGGAGGAAGAGGAGGAAGGGGAGTAGTGGCGCAGCGGCCGCAGCGTTCCTGGAGCTGTCCCGTCGCCGTCTTGAGAACTAAGTGCTGGCGTGGCAGGCCCGTCCCAGCAGCCACCGTCGTTTGTAAAGATGGTTTTCGTCGCGACACTGTTTTGTCTGCAGCTAATTATGCTCAGGTTGTCTTTGCCGGTCGGTTATGTGACCTGGGCTCCTGCAGGATTACGATGTGTGATAATAATCCCCACAAGTCATAGTGTCCAGGGTGTTACCTCGGTCGCAGCGACAGGTGGGCCACGAGGCTCCGGCACGAAGCCCATGTGGAGGACGGAGCTGGGCCTTTCTGGAGCCGGCTCTCGGAGGAGTCACGTAGCCAGCTGGGAGCTGGTCCAGCCGCAGCGCGAGTTGAAAGTCCCTGTCGCTACAGTGCAATGCTGGTGGGACGAAGGCACCGGCGTTGGTGGGCCAGGGGTTCTCCTTCACAGGCCGCTGTCCGGCTTTCTCCACCAGCAGAGAGTAGCGAGGCCACGGCCACAGCTGAGGCCCCGGGGTCTTCAGGGCCTTGGAAATCAGCACAGTGGCCCTGCACAGACCGGACACTCGGGTCCTCACCAGCCCCTGGTATGAAGCTAAGTGTCTACACGTCTCAGCCCCTCTCCACACGCTCCGGGGGGATAAGGCCCCCGCGGTCCCGTCAGCCGCTGAGCGCCTGGGTGATTGACAGCAGGTGCCCCTTCAGAACAGTGTCACTCACGTCACAAACTAGCGGATTTGAAATAAAAAACCAACACAGCAGCTGCCCACGCTGTAGAACACACTCTCCCATGTGTTCAAAACAAACACCCGTGGGCTGTGTCCTGGACTGGAGCCTCCAGTTAAACTGAACAGATAGCACTGAGCTAAGCAGTTCCCAGCGTGTCTGTGAAGGGTATTAACTCCATGTAAAACGGTCAGACTGATTCACACGCCTGGGCACCGTCACGTGTCACCGCTTTCCCGGGTCCCCTGCTTCGCTCCCAGCGCGGTGTGGCCCCAGGCGTGTGACGCTGAGTGGTCACTGGCGGGGTGGGCGTCCTCCATCAGCCCCCAGATGACCTGACCCAAATGACAGCAGTGCCAAGGCAGAAACAGGGACCTTGAACGGGACCCTGGAAGCGAGGTCCTGGCAGGACGCTACGTCTCAGCATCCTGGACCCTTCCCGCGAGGCCGGGCCCTGGGAACACCAGCTCTGCCCTGGGATGAAGCAGAACAGGGCTCCTTGCTGCTCCTTTACGGTTTGATTCCCGGTCAGGGCACAGGCCTGGGTCTCGGGCTCAATCCCTAGTGGGGGGCGTGCAGGAGGCCGCCCGTCAATGATTCCCCCCCTCTCTGAAATCAATAAAGATATATTTAAAAAAGAACTCAGTTTATACTTGGCATGTAATATAAAGATTCACAATTCTGAAATATATTTAGTAGACATTGGTGGAATTTTGTCTTTAATTTCTTTTAGCATAACGTTCAGCCTCATCCACACGGCACTTGCCTTTGTAGTGAAGCTGATGATCGGCTGGAGTTGGGCTGGTGACCAGGGACCAGGGGAGATGTTCACCCCCTGGAATCTGCCCCGAGCGGAGGGACTAAGGTTCCTGGGACTTCGGGCCTTTCCTGGTCCCAGGGTTTCATCAGGGGCGAGGGGAGCCAGGGGAGAGAGTGGCTGCTCAGGGTCCTGCCCTCCCCCTCCCCGTGATTCCCTGTCTGCTGGCTCCGGCAGGAAGCAGAGCCTGTGCAGGGAGGTGGTGGGCCTGTGCTGCTTGCAACTGCGACCAGAGGAGGGCGTCCTGGCTCCATCATCTTTTAGTAGAAACGGGAGTTAGAGGAAAGGGCTCCAGCAAATGAAAGAAACACGTCTGTTGTAGGAATCCCGTCCTCGGGCTCGGAGGCCAGACTCCGGTTTTCACGACAGCGACCAGTGAGCTGAGTAATGGGCAAAGCTAAAGAAAAAAGCTGCTGTCATTTGGGATTTTCCCAAGATTCAACTTCAAAAAATAAACAAGGTGAAGGCTGTGGGGGTCTTTGTGTCCCAATATCCCCGCTAAGAAAACCCCAGTTTCCAGGAAATGGACAGTAGGTGGCGCCCAAACTGCAGTTTCCAGCCACGTGCACGTCCTGCTGGTTTGGTTTTCACTCGCTTCAGACCCTTCCTGGCAGCATCACTGAGGAGGCCCTGCTGTCCGAGGGCACCGCCTGCCTCCCCGGCTGATGGCCGCCCCTCCGGGAAGAGGGCTGGGACCTGCCCTGTAACGGCTCCGGGTCACAGACCAGCGGCCCCTCCTCCCCAAGGCTCTGCTGTTGAGGGGCCGCGTGGTCCCAGGGACGTTCCATTGGCATCTTACGCGTTTCATTATCATTTTGCATGAAATCCCTGTAAGGCCTGCAAAGCCTTTCCTTCCACTTGTAGAAAAGCCATCTCACAACTCAGAGCTGGGGAGACACGGCTGCAAGGCCGGAGGGGGTTCAGGTCCGCAGGCGCCCCTTCCCGACGGCCCCACAGGCCTCGGGGTGGGAGAGACACATGCGATTTCATTGACTTCACATTAATGTTGGTTATTTCAACTCTGATTTTCAGCTCATGCTAAATACAGGTCCTTTGCTGGGGCAGGTGTGGGGTGAGGCGAGGGTCTCCCATGGCAACGGGCGACTCGGATAAGCAGGCGAGCGTCTTCCCCCTGAGAACATGGGCTCACCTCCAAGTACCAGGTGCGGGATGCAGCCCCCCAGGTACCAGGTGAGGGATGCAGCCCCCCAGGTACCAGGTGAAGGATGCAGCCCCCCAGGTACCAGGTGAAGGATGCAGCCCCCCAGGTACCAGGTGAAGGATGCAGCCCCCCAGGTACCAGGTGAAGGATGCAGCCCCCCAGGTACCAGGTGAAGGATGCAGCCCCCCAGGTACCAGGTGAAGGATGCAGCCCCCCAGGTACCAGGTGAAGGATGCAGCCCCCCAGGTACCAGGTGAAGGATGCAGCCCCCCAGGTACCAGGTGAAGGATGCAGCCCCCCAGGTACCAGGTGAAGGATGCAGCCCCCCAGGTACCAGGTGAAGGATGCAGCCCCCCAGGTACCAGGTGAAGGATGCAGCCCCCCAGGTACCAGGTGAAGGATGCAGCCCCCCAGGTACCAGGTGAAGGATGCAGCCCCCCAGGTACCAGGTGAAGGATGCAGCCCCCCAGGTACCAGGTGAAGGATGCAGCCCCCCAGGTACCAGGTGAAGGATGCAGCCCCCCAGGTACCAGGTGAAGGATGCAGCCCCCCAGGTACCAGGTGAAGGATGCAGCCCCCCAGGTACCAGGTGAAGGATGCAGCCCCCCAGGTACCAGGTGAAGGATGCAGCCCCCCAGGTACCAGGTGAAGGATGCAGCCCCCCAGGTACCAGGTGAAGGATGCAGCCCCCCAGGTACCAGGTGAAGGATGCAGCCCCCCAGGTACCAGGTGAGGGATGCAGCCCCCCAGGTACCAGGTGAGGGATGCAGCCCCCCAGGTACCAGGTGAGGGATGCAGCCCCCCAGGTACCAGGTGAGGGATGCAGCCCCCCAGGTACCAGGTGAGGGATGCAGCCCCCCAGGTACCAGGTGAGGGATGCAGCCCCCCAGGTACCAGGTGAGGGATGCAGCCCCCCAGGTACCAGGTGAGGGATGCAGCCCCCCAGGTACCAGGTGAGGGATGCAGCCCCCCAGGTACCAGGTGAGGGATGCAGCCCCCCAGGTACCAGGTGAGGGATGCAGCCCCCCAGGTACCAGGTGAGGGATGCAGCCCCCCAGGTACCAGGTGAGGGATGCAGCCCCCCAGGTACCAGGTGAGGGATGCAGCCCCCCAGGTACCAGGTGAGGGATGCAGCCCCCCAGGTACCAGGTGAGGGATGCAGCCCCCCAGGTACCAGCTGACGGGCGAGCTCCTCACTCAAAAGAAAGCAGACCCACTCCCTCTGTCACGTCCCTTTAAAGCCGCGGTGGCCAAGCAGCCGGAGCATCCAGCATGTGGCACTAATCTAGGCTATGACGGCTCCATCACTGACCTGCCTCATTGGCAGCGTCTGACGACGCCCACCCCTCCGTGCAAATACGTGGATCCGTTCCAGAGTCACTCCCAGGTCCTGGGCCCAGAGAAGCGTTACCGCACGCCAAGCACCGGATGCTCTGAGGACTTACTATGCTAAGTTCCCGGTTTGGGGCCGCACACGCCCGAGGATGGAGAGCTGTAGCAAAAGGGATTCCGAAGACCCAGCGAGGAGGCCGTCCGTGCTGGTCCATAGACGGTGCCTGAAGTCCCAGGTGTCCTGGGAGCCTGCGGGGCGGAGCCGTCCTCGATCGCGAGCATGGACACTGTCCAGGCTGCTGCCCTCCGCCAGCTGCAGCCCAGTGTCAGCTCCGGCTTCCGGGCGGGGTCCTCGCTGCCGTTCGCCTGTGGAGTCTCCTGGACCGTCATGGAGGAAGCTCCAAGCGGCCTCCCTCCCGGTCCCCAGCCTGGCACTCAACACGGGGCTTGTCCCAGTCCCCATTCACACCGCCAGCTGTCACTGCTCCTGTGACCAGCATCGACCTGTGGTCAGTAGCCTGAGGCTGGGGGTCTGCACTGGGGCACCCGGGGCGGCAGGCCCTGCAGCCCCCTGGGGTCCAGGAGGAGCCGAGTGGGACCGCGGCTGCTGGGACATCCAGGGCCAGCGATGTGGCTGCAGCCGAGGCCCACGAAGCCACCAGGACATCTTACTTGATACTTCCTTGCCCCCCCCCCCCACACACCTGTGGGAGTGCCTGGCCCCTGACCAGTCACCAAGGCAGCCCTCCCACCCACCCTCCACCTGACCTCTGCCCCTCGGTCGCTGCAGACAGCATTGGTCTCTGGGCCTGTCAGGCTGCCGGGTCCCAGAGGCCTAAGGCAGCGAAGGGTCATTTTGGTCACGTGACGTACGCAGGTCACGGTGGCTTCTCCACATTGTCATCGTCCCCATTCCTGGTCCCAGCCGCCTGAGCCTGGCCTCTGCCCACACAGAGGGAAGACCATCTCCCGTGCCCAGGACGCCCCTGGGCTGTCCCAGAACAGGCAGGGCACCCGCTCCCACCACAGGGCGCCTGTCCCACATGGGACAGAGCCAGGGCGGCGGGCAGTGTGGGCACCGCCACAGCCTGTGGCCCGTCCTTGTGACTGCATGGTGTGGGGTGGATGGGATGGGGCAAGACGGGCCGGACACGCCCTGGAGCCAACCTCCCGCGGTCCCTCCCCTGCTGCTGCACCTGGGGCGGCACCGCGGCTCGAAGGGTGTCTGTGGAGTGAGCGGGGTCCCTCCGGAAGGTGGGGTCCCTCGGACTGGCCTGCAGGGATCGGGACGAAACTAGCTCCCCGACATCCCTTGAGGGGTCCTGGAGCGCGAGGGTGATTCTCAGGTGACGCACCCCGGAATGGGGCTCCCCCCCTCTGGTTCCGGGGTGTATCACCCGAGAACCGCCGCTGCAAGTCACCGCAGCTCAGCAGCTCCTGCGTTGAGCATCTGCTCCCTGGTGGTCAGTGCGCGTCATAGCTACCGGTCGGACGGTCAGACGGTAGCTTAGCCTTTTATAGATATAGATATAGATGATATAGATATAGATATAGATATAGATATGCACAGCCCATGGACATGGGCAGTGGGG